TAAGCATGCTTACATATATGCATACATCCACATACATATATACATACAAAATGGTGTTTCCGATGAAATAGGTTTTTGTCGATAGACTACGTTTTTGTTCCAGTCCTATGTTTCTTGCGGATGAACTATGTTTTGCCGGTGGTTCGATTCGCCCGGTACTTTTGGAGGTGCTTAGGACCTCTGGGCGCGCATTGCGGGCAACGGCGTCGCACCGGCGGGCTGCGCCCATGTGCGCGCGCGCCATCGCCGCCTTCGCCGGCGGGCCTGCCCGCGCGGCTACACACGGCGCAAGCAATCAACAGGAAGATGTCCGAGAGCATAAACTTCAGCGGGTAACAATGCACCCTGGGCGCAAATGGCAGCGACGGTGACACGGCGGGGCGGAGCAGTAGATCCAACGTGAGCAAGCTGAGCACGAGCGCTTCCATCACTGCAAAGGCCTGCTTGACCAGGCGGGGGTCGCCCTCGCCAGCCTGCGCCTGCTTCGCGATCCTTATCAAGCTGCCCAGCCGGCCCGCGATGCCGCGGCAGGGCGATAGACGGCCGGGCAAGGCGTGGTCCAATATTCGGAATCTGCACATAACTGGAACGCACGTGTTGGTCGGATATGCGCGTCGCCGGCCATCGCGCGCATCGAACCACCCAGTCACCGACGACGTGATGTTCACCCTGTTCAGGATCGCCGCGCGGAGGGAAGCTCCGACCTTCTCGACCGTCTCCGGCGCGACTCCGTCCGAGAGATGCCGATGTGCGGCGGCGAGATCTCGCAGCGCCGTGTCGTCGAGGACTCCGGGAGCCCCCGTGCGTCGAAGCATGCAATCGCGCGCCAGCCACGCGGCCAAGCGAGCATCAGTGGCTGGTGCCGAACGGAAGATGCGTCGACGCATGCTGACCGCAAAACATGCTCGCGACCTGAGCGCCGCGCCCAGGCGAGGCTGCTTGCCCAACAACGGAGCGCGGCGCACAATCCGCCACCGTGCCTTTGGCGCGTTGGGGTGTGTTAGAATGCTCCTCTGGTCCCTCTGGGAGGTTTTTTCCTAAGTGTTTTCTAAGGGCCGCCCCCCGCCCGGCGCGCGCGCCGGGTCCAGAAATCGCACCCCTCCTTTTTTTGATAATTACCCCCTCGCAAGGATCGCGGCCTCTGAGGGCGAAAATTCGAGCCCCCGGAAACCCCCGAGAGGCACCCCGCCCCAGGAGGTCCCCCAGATGCCCCCAAAAAGCCCCCGGGTGCCCCCAAGGGGCCCCGAGAGGCTCCCGAGAGGCGCCGAAGAGGCCCCCAACATGTCCCCAGGAGGCCTCGAGAGGTCTCGGCACTGCCCCCCAGAGGCCCCAAAGAAGCCAAGCAGGTGCCCCAACGGGCTCCCAAGGAGCCCCAAGAAGCTGCCAAGAGGCACGGAAGAGGCCCCCAACGTGCCCCAGGAGGCCTCAAGAGGCCTCGGCGCTGCCCCCCCCGAGGCCCCAAAGAGGCCAAGCGCGAGATCACACCGCCGTTCCTACACTGAGCATCCTGCCTGCTGCGCTGCTGCGCAGGCACGGTGGCGGGGTTCGCCGCGGGCAGGTGGATAGATCAACGCAGCAATGGGGCGCGCTCAAGGCCCCGCTCCACGCGATCCCGGGTTCCCCTTGGAACCAACACGTCTGGCTGAACCGCGACTAGCAGGCAGTGGAAGTATCAGAACGCACGGAGTCAAGGCTTGTTGACGAAGCCAAGGCGGCCCGCGATCGTGTCAGATGCTTTGCAAGGTCCTGGGGCAGCAGGTCCGATCCAACCAAGTGTTCCTCACTGTCCTTTCCTTGGTGAGAGATGCCCGTCCATGAGGTAGGCTCCCGGGTGTCTTCATATTCCTCTTGGTCTTGTTCGCTTTCCACATCAGAGCAATCCGAATCCGACGCGGCTTCCACGTTGGCTGGCGCACCTGCTGGTTCTGGCGAAGGCGCCAGGGGGGGAAGTTCCGGCGCCGACGAAGACGCAGCCTGGCGGTCCCACCGGCCGTGGTGTGAAACACCGCCGTGATGCGTGCGCGCGGGCGGTCCGTCCTCGGCACGGCAGGTAGTGTGCCGAGGACAACCTGGGCCCTCGCGCCGAAGGCGCTTCATCTTGAGCCACCGTTTCGAAAAAGAAAAGGGTACGCAGGCATCGCAGAAGGAAAGGGGGAAATCTATGGAGAGTGAACGAATGGGAGACAAGGAGGGGGAGGACCAGCATGAGTAAGACGACAGGGAATGAGAGACGCGGAGGCTCGCAAATCCCGAAAGGCGTGCTACAGTACATAAGCCTGCGCGACTCACGCATGAAAACATCGGACAACCGCGAAGTCTCAATGCGCGGAGACGCAGGCATCACACAAGGAAGGGGGGAAATCTATGGAGAGTGAACGAGTGGGAGACAAGGATGGGGAGGAGCAGTATGAGTAAGACGACAGGGAATGAGAGATGCGGAGGCTCGCAAATCCCGAGAAGCGTGCTACAGTATATAAGCCTGCGCGACTCACACATGAAAACATCGGACAACAGCGAAATCTCAGTACGCGGAAAATGCAGGTCATGATGACGATCAGGTTGAAAAGGCTAGGAGCCTGAGGCCTGAGGTGGAGTTGTGAGGATGCCTCGAGCGGCGGCGCCAGAGTTGCGAGGATGTTTCGAACAGCGGCGCCAGAGTTGTGGACGCTCCTGACGCTCCCGACGCTCCTGACGCGCGTGCGCCAGATCTCGAGCGGCGGCGCTGGAGTTGTGAGGATGTCTCGAGCGGCGGCGCCCGATTTGTGAGGATGTTTCGAGCGGCGGCGCCAGAAGTGTGAGGATGTCTCGAGCGGCGGCGCTGGACTTATGAGGATGTCTCGAGCGGCGGCGCCGGAGTTGTGGACGTCCCAAGACATTGAAAAGGGCGACGACGACGAAGGTGGAGGGTAGTGACGGGTGAGGACGATGAGAAGGGTGAGGACGGGGATGCGGATGTGGATTAAGATAAAGAAAATGATGAAGAGGATGATGAGGGCAAGGAGGATGCGGAGGACGCGGAGAATGCAGGTCATGATGACGATCAGGTTGAACAGGCGAATCAGAAGAACCAGGACGAGGACGAGGACGAAGACGATGATGAGGGCGAGGACGACGAGGACGAATGATGATGCTGACGACAGTGACGATGAGGATGAGGGTGAGATGCCCCGAACAGACTTCGAACAGGTCCCTGAGAGGCATCCCAGGAAAACCACATATGCATCGACGAGGCTCCGGGCCCATAGCCTAGGCACGGTGGTGAGTTGGTCCGAAGGCCGGGAGTTGCGAGGATGTCTCGAGCAGCGGCGCTGGAGTTGTGGACGCTCCTGACGCCCCCGACGCTCCTGACGCCCCTGGCGCTCCTGACGCCCCTGACGCGCTTGCGCCAGATCTCGAGCGGCGGCGCTGGAGTCGTGAGGACGTCTCGAGCGGCGGCGCCGGAGTTGTGAGGATGTCTCGAGCGGCGGCGCCCGACTTGTGAGGATGTTTCGAGCGGCGGCGCCGGAGTTGTGAGGGTGTTTCGAGCGGCGGCGCTGGAGTTGTGAGGATGTCTCGAGCGGCGGCGCCGGAGTTGTGGACGTCCCTGACGCTCCTGTCGCTCCCGACGCTCCTGACGCTCCTGACGCTCCTGGCGCTCCTGACGCTCCTGACGCTCCTGACGCTCCTGACGCTCCTGACGCTCCTGACGCCCCCGACGCTCCCTGATGTTCCCTGACGCTCTGACGCTTTTGACGCTTTTGACGCTCCTGACGCTGCTGACGCTCTGACGCTTCTGACGCTCCTGACGCTCCTGACGCTCCTGACGCTCTGACGCCCCTGACGCCTGGAGCGTCAGGAGCGTCAAACACGTCCAGAGCGTCAGGAGCGTCAAAAGCGTCAGAGCGTCAGCACTTGTTTCCAGGGGCGCGCTGCGCCAGCTCTCGAAAAAGTGAATCTCACGCAGTCGGTTACTACCCCAGGGCTGGCCTCGCGACTTCGGGAACACATTACGGCCATCATGTCTCCAGATACGCCAGAGGGTAGAAGGCCGAGATATCATCTGCTGCGGAAGTCTTTGGGGACACTGTGTATGCTACAAGTGACGATCTTTCCGTCGGAGGCGCAGGCGTTTGCAAGGGAGTCCCTTGTGGTCAAATTCGCCAATCCTGAGTGCAACAATCGTGGTCGTGGATATCAACGCCATGGTGCCCGACAAGGACCACTACTGGTGCCACGGCGGGAAGCAGTTCGTCGTCGTCCGCCACCGCGGCTTCGAGAACCCAAGCAGGCGCAGTCAAGTGCGAAGGAGAAGTCCGTGTATGAACGTGTGCGTCGGGAACAATGATTACAACATCCTGGACAACTACGAGGCGCGTATTCTGGGGTTTACGATGGCATGATGGGGCTCAGGTTGGGGGATGATCGTTGTTACGGCCCGATCCGCACCCTAGAGTAAAGTTTAGACAATCAATTTGTGGCTTATCGTGCATCATATCGTCCATGTGTTAGTTTCCCACGGTCGGGGAGTGCAGGTACAGGTGCTGGCTTCTTCTACCGTGCAAAGGAGTTGGTCAATTTTGTCCGTCCAAGTGGGGCTCGTCGTATGGCGGCCGTCATAGTAATGGAATACCTCATCAGTCTGCATCGTTTGGCGCCGTTCAATGTCCCACCGCTCGCCACGCTGTGGCGGCAATGCAATACTCAGTGGTCGGAGTGGTCCCGCGGTGTTCGGCTTCCCTTTCGGGTCATCTCGAAAAATGTGAACCGCCTGTGGCTGTACCGATGGCGAGAGGTTCTGGAGCGGGCTCGGACAAATACCATTGCATGGGTCGGTGCCTTGCCCACGCCTTTCGGCGTCATCAGAGGGATCGTGGGTTATCGTGACCGTGACCGGTACGACCACCGTGGACAGCGAGACCGCGACGGCGATCGTCACCGTCGGAGGGGCCGCAAGACCCGTTCGAGTTCCTCGTCGGGGTCGAGGGACAACCAGGGGGTGCGCCGCTTGGGTCTCCACAAAGGGGGGGATATACACGCACGACCCGTCGTACGCGGCGTTCTTTGACCAGCGGGAGCAGGAGCTACGTGAGATCGAGGTTCGCCGACAGCGGGAGATCATGGCCAGGGCAACGCAGGGGTCGATCGGTGGCGCGCTCCAGGAGAACAGCATCCAGCTCCACACGTCCCAGCGAGGGGGCGGTGGAGGTCTGCCGCAGTCGCCAGGGACGTCCACACCTGCGGACCCAGGACCAGCCCCCAGCCCAGGCGTGTTGCCAGGGGAGACCGGTACGGTTGACGCGGGGGACCTCACGAACATCAAGCGCATGCTCGTGGAGGCGCAGTTCGGGTACGTCGTGGGGCTGGAGGACGGGAAGGAGTCTACGTTCAAGGCGGCGTTCTCCAGCTCGTGGGGCAATCGCAAGATATCCCAGATTGCAAGCACGCTATTCCAGAAGCAAAAGATCACGGAGCCCAAGCGTAAGGACGAAAAGATATCGGAGTTGTGGAAGTATTATCAGAACCTCGCCTGAGAGATTGCCGAGCCTCTCTTAGACGCGTACGGTGCTGAGGTCTATGCTCCAAAGGTGGAGTGCTCTTTTGTGCAGAATCAGTTCAGGTTGTACATGATTATTTTTTTATGCTTGGGATCGTTTTCGTGTACTTCGTCGGCTGTGAGTCGCCTATGTCCGTGCTCCAGTCCGCGTTTTTCTACGAATATCGCTTGCTGAATGGCCAGGCCGCCCCTCTCCTGTGCCCGTCTTTCTCACAGGAGATCGCAGGTAGTCCTGCGGCAGGTATATCTACTCTTGGGATCTGTGAGGAGGGGGTGGGGACAGCTGTCAGGACCGCTCGAGGCCGCTAATCAAGTCGGGGGCCTTTTTTGGTTTTCTCCCCTCCCCTCTCCGCTCGCTCCCTCCCCTTCTTCCCCCGCTCCCCACAAAAAATCCCCACGTGAGGATAGCCTCATGTGTGCCTGGGACGTTTCTTGTGCCCTGGTGGGTTCAGTGTGTGAGGCACTGTCCTGTGCTTGGCACCGACCTGTAGAGGTCTGTAGTTGGGCTCGGGTGCACCTTCCTTCCCCCTCTTGAGGACCCGAACCTTCCTCCTCCACCAGGTGTGTACCCAGAAGTCCGTCGAACAGGATTTGCCGAGGAAGATTTCAATCACAGGTTTGAGTCTGACCCTATTGCGCTGTATCCTATCCCAGCGCGGAGGGACACACTTTCTTCCCGTGGGCGCGTGTGGCTCGAGGAGGAGCCCCAGGGGAGCCCGCTCTTCCGCATGGACGCTCAAGGAAGTGCTGGCGGTCCGTCGGTCACAGATCGACCCCCGAGCGGCTCAGTGGTGCAATGAAAACAGATCGAAGTTTCGGGCCTACGCCTACCGCCAGCCTGGAACCGATCTGCATCCCATTCATCGCCTTGGAGCACACACACAAACCACACACACACCACACACACACAAACACACAAACACACAAACACACACACACACAAACACACACACACACACAAACACACACAAACACACAAACACACGCACACAAACACACAAACACACACAAACACACACACAAACACACACACACACACAAACACACACAAACACACACCACACACACACGCACACAGAACATCCAAGGGTGCCCTCCCCCAGGATGCACAACAGCAGCCAAAACACACATGGCCCGACTGCAGAGGCCTCCCAAATGGGGTTCGAGCAGATGGGGTCGGAGGATCTCGCCGCATCGCCGATATGATGGGCCTGGTTTCCACCACCGCCACCATAAGTTGGAGGGGGGAAGGAGGAGGAGGAGGAGGACCCCCTCCCTCTCCTACCCATGGTGGTGATGTTGGATAACAAGCCCATCACGATGCATCGCCGATGCATCGGCCATACACTGGTAACGTCGGCGATATGTCCGCGACGTCGGCGTGGAGACTATTGGGCCCCACATCGAGCCGCACCGCCGATGCATCGCCGATGCATCGGCGATGCGGCGCGATCCTCCGACCCACTCTATTCTCCGACTCCATCCAGCAGGCTTGGGCGCCCGAGATATCCAGGGTAACTCGGGTCCAAGCTAACTCGGGTTGGGATTCCCGAAAAGACGAACCCGAGTTAGCCCTGACCTGAGTTACCCCTGATGATTTGGGGCTCTGGACGCCCGAATTCTCCGGGGTAACTCGGGTCCGGGCCAACTCGGGCTCGGAATCCCGGAAAACGAACCCGAGTTGGCCCTGAACCGAGGTGCCCCTGATGATTCGAGGCTCTGATCCAGGAAACCCGGAGCGGAACCACGCCTGGCGGCACGTCGAAAGTCGGGCCAATCAGGCCTCGCAGAACCCTGCAGGATCCTGCAAGACCCTGCACCCAAACCCGGGCCAGTGCGAAGGATCCTGCAAGACCCTACAGGACCCTGCACCCAAACCCGGGTCAGTGCGCCCCTGGCCCTGCAGGATCCTGCAAGATCGGGCGCTCTGGCGCCCCGGAATGCAGACCGCGAGGGCGCGGACACGGATCTGCGCGCCGCCCGTGGCCCTCACGGCCCGCGGGAGCGGCGGGGGCGCCCAGGCGGCCCTCGCCGAGAGGGGGGCGGCGGCCCGCCGCCCCCGCGGGCCCCCGAGAGCCCGAGGGCACCGCGCCCGCCGTCTCTGGCGGGTCTCAAGGCCCCCGATTTGAAAGACGGGTTGCGGGTTGCGCCGGCGCAGTCGGGGAGAGCTCGGGGCCCAGACGTGCTCGGCGGCGGCGCTCCCTCGGGAGGGGGGCTCGAGGCCCCACCTGGCGAGGGCCCCGTGCGTCCACCGCAGCTTCCACTGCGACACCCCGTGGGCACGGGGGCAAGGAGGAGGAGGGGGAGGAGGAGGGGGAGGAGGAGGAGGAGGAGGAGGAGGAGGACGAGGAAGAGGGAGCAGGGAGGAGGAAGAGGACGAGGAAGAGGGAGGGAGAAAGAGAGGAGGGAGAGAGAGAGAGGAGAGGGAGAGCACGAAGAAGAGGGAGGATTGAAGAGGAGAAGAGGGACAGCGAGGGTGCACGAAGCTCGAAGGTCGAAGGAGGATGCACGAATAGAAATCCTTCCAACACTCACCTGCTGGCCCTCCTTCTTTTGCCGACCCGCCGCTTTTTGCCCCTGCGCTCCCGGCGAAGTGTCCGCGACCCCGCGCGCCGACGCGGCACGGGCTGCTTTCATAGCTGAGGGTCCCACTGCTGGGAGGCGCCGCCCACTCTGTAGGCCAACGTGCCCCAACTGCCTCCTCCTGCTCATGCTGCTCCTCCTGATCCTCCTGCTACTGCTCCTCCTTCTCCATCCCCCCACCTCGTCGTAATCATCATCATCATCATCATCATCATCATCATCATCATCATCATCATCATCATCATCATCATCATCATCATCATCATCATCGTCGTCATCATCATCATCATCATTATCATCATCATCATCGTCATCATCATACTCATTTGCACAAGTATCATCAGCATCATCAGTATCATCATCGACATCATCATTATCGTCATTAGCACTATAATCATGATCATGATCATGATCATGATCATCACCATCACCATCACCATCATCATCATCATCATCGTCACTAATATCATTGTCGTCATTGTCACCATCGTCATCATCAGCAGCAAAAAACATCATCATGATCATAAACATCGTCAGCTTCATCATCATCATCATTAGCATCGTCATCAGATATCATCATCATCATCATCCTCATCCTCATCCTCATCATCGTCATCATCACCAGCATCATCATACTCAACCGCATCATCACCACTATCATCACGATCATGAGCATGATCAGCAGCATCAGTATCAGCATCACCAGTATCATCATCATTACCATCAACAACATTACCATCATCACCACCACCACAACCACCATCACCAACAGCCTCACTAAGATACACAACACCAACAACACAACCAACTCCATCAACAACACCAACAACAGCAGCAGCACCAACACCAGCAACAGCAACAGCAGTAGCAACAACAGCAGCAACAACACCATCATCATCAGCATCATAAACAGTATCAACATCACCATTGTCGTCGTTATCGTCATCGTCACCATCACCACCACCACCATACCCATCCCCCTCACCACCACCACCATCACCATCACCACCACCATCATTATCGCCACCATCAACACCATCATTGTCACCATCACCATGACCATCACCATCGTCATCATCATCACCATCACCATCATCATCATCATCACCATCTTCATCACCTTCATAAGCAGCCTCATCACCACCACCACCGTCACCATCACCATCAACATCATCGTCATCATCACCAAAACCATCATGAACATGAACGTGATCATCAGCATCAGCATCAGCATCAGTACCAGCAACAACATTTTCAACATCAGCATCATGAATATCATCATCAGATTCATAATCAGCACCATCATCATCAGGACCACCACAGCCGCCATCACAATCACCGAGACCATCACCATCATCAACAACAATACCAACAACAACAAAACCAACACCACCAACCACACCAACAACAGCAACAACAACAACACAAACAACATCAACAACAACATCATCATGATCAGAAACAACATCATCATCACCATCATTACCGTCATCGTCAAAGTCACCATCACCACCACCACCACAATCACTACCATCACCACCACCACCATCATCAAAGCCATCATTAGCATCACCATCAACACCATCATCGTCATCGTCATCATCGCCATCACCATCATCATCATCACCACCATCATCATCGCCATCATCATATCATCATCAACACCAACATCGTCACCATCACCATCACCATTACCATCACCACCACCATCGCCATCACCACCACCACCATAGCCATCATGATCATTACCGTGAACATCATCATCGTCATACTCATCACCACCACCATCATCATCACAATATATGTTCATCATGACCCTCATAATCAACCTCTAACTAATAACCATCACCAGCACCATCACCATCACCACCACAACCATAATCGCCATCATTACCATCACCATCAACACCATCATCATCATCGTCATCATCATCACCATAATCATCAGCAGCAGCAGAAGCAGCAGCAGCAGCATCGTCACCATCCTGACTCATGATCATCATCGTCATCGCCATCATCATCACCACCACCATCCCCATCCTTCTTCATTCTTTCCTGCCTTCTCGCTCCTGCCCCCTCCTTTCCTTCCCCCTCGTGCACATGACAGCAGATGGAGGTGGATGGCAGCTTGTGCGCCGAGTGCACAAGGCAAAGCAGAAGGTCGAGCTCAAGACTAGGCGCATCAAGCACTCCGAGCCCATGGATCGTCTCACTGCTCCATCGCTGATGTTCTAGGTCTCAGCCGCAGGATCGCTGCGCAACATGATGTACTACCCGTTCTTAGTGGTGATGGTCGTGCTTTCTTCTTGACTGGAGCGACTTCCCTAGGCCAGGCAGATTTTGAAGATATCAAATTTAGCATCGTTGAGAACGCAGATGAGTACGCTATGGAGCTCCATAAAGCCAGCACCACACAATGGAAACAATGGATGAATAATACTGCCTTTCTCAATGATGCGGGCAAGGCCCACCGTCTTACTCGGTTGCAAGTATTGCAACGCAACATTATGAGCACAGAGCGCACGCAGCCGTACCAGCTTGCTGATGATGAAGTGCGGAGATGGCGCGCAGTATGGACATGTCACGACACGCAGCGTATGCAACTCCCTTGCACGCACGTCGACTGGCACGACCTCCCCTTCATCACAGTAGAGGACGTACGCGTGGCCATAGAGACATTTCCTGGAAAAACAGCAATAGGGCCCACAAAGATCCACCCCAGGTCTTTCAGCTACGTCTCCAACGAGGGGCTCCAAGCGGTCTCGGAGTTGTTTATGCAGTGTGAGCGGCTGCTTATGTGGCCCAGTCAAAGTATTGTGACTGAGATGGTTCGGTTAGCCAAGCCTGACGGAGGCACTAGACTTGTCACATTCGTGGAGAGCTTGGTGAAGTTATGGTCCATGATACGAAGGCCTACATCTAGAGCCACGGCCCCCCCCCCACTCGTGCTGCTGGTGGCGGGGGCCGCGTGGGCGCCGTGGGCGCCATGCCGCAGCCTCCGCCCAGCCTGGTCACCATGGGCGAGCCTGAACTTCGCGCGTGGTGTCAGTTGCATGGCTAGCAGTATGACTTCTGGCGAGCGGCGCAGCAGCTGCGCGCGGCGCTCGATCGGGAAGGTGATGACATGTCTGGTGCTGCTCCTGATCTGGGTGCTGAGCGCCTCGACGAGCTGCGTGAACTCAAGAAGCGTGCCATCGAGAAACCGTTGCAGGAGTCGGAACGTTATCGGCTGGAGGAGCTGCTATGCACGCAGGCCAACCAGGAGGCCGCCAAGAGGGCTCGGGTCGTTCGGTCCGACGCGGCGGCGTCCTTCAACCGCGTGCTGCAGCAGTTCCAACCACAAGATGCCGCTGCGGCCCCTGTCCCTGGAGGAGCTGGGCCTGCGGCTGGAGGAATTCACGTGCCAATCGAAGGAGTTGCAGGTGCAGGTGGCGGCGCAGTGGGGCGGAAGGGCGCGGCCCTCCTAGCCCACCCGGTCGTCGCGAAACTCGCGACGCTGAAGGTGCTGCAAGGGCGAGGCCCCAGAGCCGCCATCGCCTGCAGCCTGCACCTCGCACTGTCAAGCTGCTTTTCTGCAATGTCACGAGTTAGAATGCGGTTTCACTCTCCGTTGCCCAGGAGGTGACACCTATGTGTGATGGTTTTTCATGTGCGAACATCGGATGTTGAGTGACGCTTGTGGGCTTGCTCAGAGGAGATGTAATCAGATGGAATGGCGCCCCGATTTCACCCCTGCCGCCCCATCCCCTGGAGGGGGTCTCCATCATGGTGGGGTAGGGGCAGTAGTCAGTACGGGTTTATCTTTCAGGCGTTTCCTGTCGTCGGATTCTGCCCTCCTGGACCATGGCTCTGGGGGCCATTGGCTGTTGCTGCAATTGAAAACCAAGCAAGCTGTCATTGCTGTAGGAGTGTGTCATTTAGATGACGGCCTGGGTGTAAATGGGATGAACATTGATCGGTTGCGTGAAATCTCTGAGTTTGTGGGTGCACTGACTGTTCCCTGGATCCTGGAGGCCGGGGTGTTCTGGGAGTCCCCTCGGCCGCACAGGCCGTATCAAGATGGTATTTGAGATGGTAGAAATATCGGCCGACCTGGCGGCACTGTTGGTGTTGCTTATACAGATATAGATATACAGATACGCGTATACACATACGCATACTATATATATGCAATTACAACTATATCTCCATGCACATATACATGCACAGCTGCATGAAGACGCACGCGTGTACATAGTAGCACGTCCATCAATGGTGCAAAAGTAAAGCAACCATCTATACAAACGCACATACAATCACACGTAAACGTAGACAGGTGTGAAGCGCAGCTTAGAACCATCACTTGCGTTGATTTTTCGGCTGATTATGACGGAGTGCATCCGCGCGCGCCAGAATCGCGACAGGCCTTTACAGATGGCGGCGCGCATGCCCGCCCTCCCGATGCCCAGGAACACCGTCGCTTTAAGCGCACGGATAATGCCCACTGGGTTTCTTGTGAATCTTACTGGCGGCTGCCGCCGGGTGCCCCAGGTGGTCAGTGTCGCCAGCAGACAACATTGAGTTGTGCTTGGCAACGAAGTACAGGACCAAGAAGCGGTGGCGGCTGGGCGACATCTCGTTGAAGATCCGCGAGTAGCCGAGAAGCACTGCTCTGCCACCTGAGTGTTAAGTCCGATGATACGCAGCTTCAAGCGATGGATGTGCAGCGGGTTGCACGCGCAGGTGGGCACATGCTTCTGGGCGTGCAGCCTGTCGACGACCCAGTATTTAATCTGATTGAACTGATCGTCCAGGAGCGCCGAAGGCATCACCGAGCATGCCCTGTCGTATACGATGCAGTTGACCTTCGGATACTGCGGGAGAACACGGAGGATTGTGGACTTGACCACATCGTTGCCCTCTGGCGCAGTCTGCTCGGTCACGGCCACCACGCGGCCGCTCGTGGTCAGAAGCATAAACCACCCGTTGTTGTGGTGTAGAGACCTCGGGGTTTTGCGCTTCGTGCCAGCCTTGGTCACCGCGGGCTTCTTAATCACGGCGGCTCTCTTCGCGACAGGCTTGGGCTTGGAACGGGCCTTCGCGGTAGCGGGCTTTTTCATCAGGGCCTTCCCAGCGAACTTGCGAGCAGCCGAAGGCCTCTTCAGCACTTTCCCTCCTGGAAGGCCGCAGCCGCCGTTGCAGCGCACCAGCACCTTCTCGTGTCCGTCGCCCACTAGCTCAGTAACGCAAGCGGAATTGGCGGGCGGATAGACGCGCTGGTGGAGGTGATCGTCGTATGTTCTCAGAGCGCTCTCGCTGATGTCCTCCTCCACGTAGATGTCAAGATGCTTGTCGAGCGGTTCCAACTCCTGCACGGCCAGCGCATACATGATAGCATGGCCGTGAAGTTTACGCATGTCGAAAGGGAACTCTTTCCCCTGCCAACCGCTGCCGTCGCCGTCGTCAAAGACATCCTTCTGGACCCAGTCTGCGCCCCTGGCCGAGACGAAGTTCCTGAACAACATTGCCTCGTAGTACCGCACGTATCTCATGGTGAAGCCGCGCTTGCTCGAGATGAAGAGGACTCCGGCGCACTCCAGGTCGGCGAGAGTAGCAGTGTTCTTCTTGCGCCCCCCGACCCACACGAAGTTGGGGCCGTATGTCAATCGACACTTCTTGCTATTGCACTGCCAGGGCGTGACCGTCACTGTCGTCGTCGCGGTGTGGAGGTCATGGACGATGGCCTCGTGAGTCGTATCGCCCTTCTTGCAGAGCCTGCATCCACATACGCAGAATTCCATGTGCGTCTCGAACTCGTCGGCGATGTCCTGCCGCAGACCCTTGCCCTTGGTGTAGGGCGCGCCGCCGCTGCAGACGCTGCAGCTCGAACCGCCGAGAGCGTCGCCCAGCCAACAACGATGTTCTCGCATGATCAGAATGCGGAGGTACCGAGCCTCGCCGCCAAAATCTTCCTCCAGGGACTGCGCCATGGATGCGAGCATGGTGGATGCGGGCCGATCAACGCCCCTTGCATTGCGAATGCTGATAGCGTATGTGAACAATGCCTCCTGCGCATCTAGGAACGCCTCCGTGTCGATGCGCTCCACTGAGTGCTCTGGCAGCACTGCGATCTGAAATGAACCAGGAAGAGGTCGCGGATCGCCTCCGTAGTAAGTGAAAGAGAATGGCGCCCTCTCCATGCTCTCCATGTGGCGTCGCCGATCGCGCACTACCCAGGCAAGCCCCACGGCGCCGAGAGCGCGCAGTTCCTGAAAACAACGCGAATGCCCCGCCCGAGCAAACTGCTCGTCTGGAATCCCCGCAGGAGTGCCCATTCCGCCCACTGAATTCCACGGCGTGTTTGGCACGTCTGGCAAGGCGCTGCTCCGGCGAAGTAGCAGTGGCCGGGGACGCTGTCTCATGAGGTGCATCAACAAAGACGCGGAGCGGCTGTACCGGCACTCCATATCCGTTATCAAGCTGACGAACTCGCCCTCGGAGCTGATGGTCCCGTCGCGAAGTTGGACGTACGCGAGTTGCTGCTCACGGTCGAACGCGCTCAGCTGCGTGCCGCCGACATGGTAAACCTGCCCCTGCTCCCACAAGAAGTCATTCGATCTCCTGGCCGCAGCTGCGTTGGCGCCCCCCAGCGAATCGCCAAATGGCGTAATCGTAAAGGTAACTCCGTAAGCTTCGCCGACCTCCTCGAGCACGCCGGTGATGAGATCCAGATCGTCGGGAGACGCAACAACTACCGCCCCGTCGAACATGTAGGAATTGAGCCGCAGGTCTGGCACTCTCCTCACGAGCTCGGACTCCGCGCGGCTCAGGATGTCATCCTCTATGCTCGAAAGCGCGAAGTGTAGGCGCGTCACCTCGGGGTGGTCTCTGTCGCTAAACATGCCTTGCAGGTATGCAAACTGCGGCAGATCCAACGCGACCCTCGTGGCCGCGCGCACTTCGACGGCCAAGTTCCACAGGCATGGGAGGTCGTTCTGAGGGGCGCCCCAATGGACGATTCGGATCAACTGCTTCTTGGCGTGGCGCGGATCGCTGGCTCCCATGAAATAGTCAGCATAGAAGCTGCGCCACTCTCGATGGTGCTGCCAGAAGGAGAACAGAGTCTGGAAGTCGCTGAGGTCCGACACGTTCTGCTTCAGCAAATTGCACATCAAGCTGACGAAGGAGTTGTCGATGTCAAAATCGAAGAAAACACGCCCTGAATTCCACGACGACCCTGCTTCTCTGCAGAAGGCTGACTGCCTGGCAAGGCGCGGCAAGTTCATCTGAGCGCTTGGCCCGCGGGCGTATCTACGCCCTGGGATGCCGTGCTTTCTATAATACTGCACATCGATGCCGGCCATGTCGCCATCTCTCTCTCCCTGCCGAAATCTGGCGAGCACGCTGTTGATGCGGTCTAAATCACCGGCGATCGTGCCAGATGCCACGTCTCCCTCAAGTTGTATCAAGTTGATCCATTCTTTCAGTGTTCCCGCGGGCTGATCGTCATGGTCGGCGGCTCTTGCAAGGCCTCGGAAGTCGGGTATGTCGGCCGTGGCCTCATACAACTCTTCCTTGCACTCCCACACGGGGCGCCACGCCGCAAAGCCGCCCCCGAAGAATCCGATGCCGCCGTGCGCGTGAAGCAACGCCTCAAACTTCTGGTGATCTACTTGGAGGAGCTGGAAAGCGTTACTGTCGGAGTGCCGGCGAATCAAGTGAGGCCAGAGGTTGATGGCCTTCTCCAAATTGTCAGCTCTGGTGCTCTTGCCCGCGCCCGGTCTCCACGCCCCCGGCACGTTCTTCATGTATTTGTTCACTTCGTATTTCTTCACGAATCGTCGCTGCCAGGCGTCCTCGTGAGCACTTATCACCACTTTCTTGGCGGCCTCAATGGCGAGATTTTCGGCGCGCTCGCTCATCAACCCAGGCGGCGCGTCCAAGCCTCCGTTGGCCATTTGCGCCGCGAGCCGGCGCGTGGCAGCCCGCAGTTCCTCGTTCGGCATCATCAGTATTTGCCTGAGCTCGTCGACGGTTTTCGATTTAATCAAAGGGATAATGTACATGGTGATGTATGCAAATCTAACTTCTGGGCTGCTCAAGAATTCGGATAAGTCTGCATCCTCGGGGAAGACTCTATCGTCAACGCTGACCTTTGCACGGTCGGCCGAGAAAGTCGCGGTTAGTTCGACGCAAATGATGCGACGAAGCCATGCCCGCAATAAGTCTAATCTCTCTGGGTCGCCCGCCAGGGAAGGGCACGCCATGTTCGTCTCCCAAAACTTCGCGCACTTATCCCAGCGGAAGTATTCTGTAACTCTGCCAAACAGGGCACGGCGCGCAATTCTTTCCCCAGAAATCCAACACTTCAGAATGTGCTCAATAAGAGAAACTCCAGGGGCGCATTCCTGGACGGTGAGGACTTTAGCAAATGCTACTTGGCCGCCCTGTTTTCGGAACTCTTCCTTTACCTGGAATGCCTCCGACGAGATCGTGGTTGCATGATCCCCGAAAACGTTGTTCCTCAATATCGTCCTTGCAGATTTCGAATTGCCCCCGGTGCCTGTGTACCATATCAGAACAGGCGGCATCGCGACGCCCATGAATGCCAAACACTCCATGGCAAGATCCGCTTCTCGGCCTGCATCGGCCCCCGCATACGAGGTGCACATTATCAGCCGAAGCCGATCCACGATGTGATCGGGGATGACGCATCCAAGGTCGCCAGGGATACCGAAGTAGCAATTGTTGTCCATCCCCTTGGGGATCTGCTGCACTCTCTCGTTTTGAGGCACACCTGGCCTGGCGTCGAAAACCACCGCGGCGTCGTCGAACGTAACGGGGCTGCGCCCCGTCGTCGTCGGTCGGGGCGTCTTCAACCAGCTCCCGAATGAATCCACCAGATCTTTTGCCGACGCCTTGCTGGTGAAGCGGCCCGTGATGCTACCAACGGCTCTGCACAGGTCCAGCGCCCACGGAGCGACCTGAGTTCCTCCGGATGGCTTCAGGTCTGCCGACGATACTGGATCCATGCAAAGGTAATAGTCTTCTCCATTTTCCAAAGACTCCAAAACAACTCTGGTGTCTCGGGCCAGATTTTTCTGCATTGCTTCTCGAAGTAATATCTGAGTCAACGACAGCGTCTTCTCGAAGTAACGGAGGGTATCCTGTCGGCGAATCGCAAATACCTCTTTCAGAGCAAATTTCCCGCGGCGAAAAATCCGCCCGCGGATTTCTGACCGCTCCCCAGAAAAACGCGCACTGGGCTCCGCGCCAGCCTGGGCGCTTTCGATGAGGAAAACAACAGAAAGATGAATTTGCGATTCGCCCGTCCTCTTGCAATTCTTCAACTCGCCAGAAAGCGCCATTGCGGTAATGGTAGACGCCGTCTGGGTGGGCTCTGTAGCGCGGCCCCATCATGATGGCGGCGAGGCGCGTCACCAGGTGGTCGTTCCCCACCTTGACGTGCGGCTTCTCGATTAGGAAGAGGCCCGACACAAGCAGAGCATCCCTGAATAATCCAGTTGGAGGAACTCCCCACGAATCTAGGATGCTGTTTGTTTCCTGAGTCACTCGTCTGATTGAGCTCCCCATGTCCTCTGGGCCCTCCTCTCGGTCTGCCTGAGTCGACACAGAGCCTCGCATCTGAACCAGTTGCGCAAAGCGCTCTGGCTCCCAGCGTCGGAGCACATCGGCCCCATCGGCGCCAGTCGAGCTCCCCGCGACGCGCCCGTCGCGTCCTTGCCGAGCGGCCCTGGCAGACGCACTGGGCGCGCCCTCTCTTCTCGGTGAACGGCTCGAGTCCCGCGGCTCTCGCTTCACTGAGGCGCGCGCTCGATCGCTCTGTGCGCCGTCCTCCCGCTTGACGCGGAGAAGTCGTTGCTGCCCAGCGCGCGAGGCATGGGCCTCGAGCGCGTTTCCACCTCGGAGAAATCGGAGCTGCTGGGTGCCTGGGCGGGAGGCGACCTCGTCCTTGTCCAGGAACTTCCAACCGATTTCCTGCGGCAGGTTCGACTGCCAGGACGCTTCAAAAGGGATCTGGTACGTGCCAGACACGTTGTTCCACGCGGACAGCTGCATTCCGACGCCCAGGCATAGTTCTCCGGCGAAAACAACGGGGCGCTCCGCAGCCAGAGCAGAGTGCCCCCCCGCCTCACCAAACATAGCCGGCTCTGTGTTCAGGAGACGGAAGAAGTCCTCGTCGAGACACTTCACCGCGGCGTACGACCCCTCAGGCAACTGCGCGTCCTCGATCATAGCGAAGTCCGACCACGAGCATTGCGCAGCGCCAGGGCAACTCAACCGGCTGAATCTCGTCGCCTCAATGCATCCCTGGCGAAAGCGCGCCTGCACCATCGACAGACCGACGTTCGTCATGGGCGGGCCCCTCGCCATCTCCAGCAAGTTCATTGGTGCAGCGCGCCTTTGAAGTAACGTTGGGAAGATATCGGGCTGCTCTCGCTTCACATCGGTGCCCACTTCTTGCTCGACAGTTGGGCGCCTTCCCGCTCCGCCAATACTGTCTTCTTCGCTCTCTGTGTCGCCCGCGCCCGCCTCGCGGCCAGTGCCGAGAAAGGCAGCCCCCCGATGACCCGCTGGGGGCGGCGGCGCAGCAGCGCTGCTTGCCGCGCGGCCCGACGCTACCCATGCCTGAAAGGCGATATCGAAGTGGTGCTCATGTACACGGAGAACACGCGAGGCTTCTTCCTCTTCCCGAGCCGCAGTGCCTGGTGGCGGAGGCGCCGCAGTGGTCTCCGAGGCCGCTACTGGATCCTTCTCTCGCTGGAGCTTCGCTTCAGCCTGAGCAGCTGTCTCCTGGAGAACGCGCGCGGCTTCTTCCTCTCCCCGAGCCGCAGTGCCTGGTGGCGGAGGCGCCGCAGTGGTCTCCGAGGCTTGGTCTCGTTCTTCGGCATTGGCATCAACGATTTGGTAGATTTTCCAACGCCACGTAGAGCTCTTCTCCTCCTCTGTGAAGGGCTTGAAAGAGCTGGCCTTATTCGTGTCCGCCAGGAGTAATTCACCATCCACTTTCTTGAGAGCCTGGAAATGCGCCACGGTGCCCAAATCAGTTCTCTTTGCAGGATCAAAGATAACGTACTTGGAAGTGTCATCGACGGCCGAAATGCCACCGCTCACTTTTTGTATAGACTTGCCGAAGGGCGCGAGCATCTGGTTGCCGTGCTTCTGAGCCCAGCACGGCCCGTCGGCCACGTAGGGCACCTTGTAGCGGTGAGCTCTGAGGGCATCAACAAGGCAGACATCCTTGAAATATCCCTCGTTGGTCTCCTTTGGGGGACGAACAGATACCGATGCCGCTACTCCGCGGACCTCTCCAGGGGCGCCTTCTGAGCAGAATGCCGAAGCGAATCCAGCCGCGGCGACGAGGGCTCTCCAGGACGAGCAGCGGTACGGGCGCCTGTTCCTCCGAAGATCCTCGCCCTTGTCCGCAGGCGGCTGAACTGCGCGGCGGCGCCTGGTCGGACCCATCACCGCGGTCGGCGTGTAATCGGTGCCCGCGCAGCCGAATTCCAGGAGGATCTCGTCTATCTTTCCGATGTCTGAGGGAACGCCGCCGCTGGCCCCGCGCTGGCTGATCCCCGTTGACCGGCGAGTCGCCTTCTTGCGGGGCGCGCGCGTCGGCTGCAGAATCCGTTTGTTGGTTTGCACTCTCAACTTCCTCTTCTGACGTACTCATGTGCGTCAGGCGGAATTTCGCTATCTCGGCCTCTGACGCAGGTCTCCAATTGGCCCACTTCATGCGCGTGCCGACGGGATTCTGCGTGAAGCCCCACGCAGGTGCACTGCGGTAGCGGCGGTTCCAATACTCGAGGTCGGCGACGAGCATGTTGTGCGTTTTTGGGTCCATCGGCAGCGGGCGGGCATTGCCATTCTCAGTCGGAAGACGCGGCGCCTCCGCCTCCAACCCCTGGAGGGGCATCATCGGAACGGCGCCCATGCTCGCGCGGGGCGTCTGGCGGCTCGCTGGCGGGGCCGAGGCACTGCGCTGCGAGGCCATCTGGGTCTCGCAAGTGAGGTTGATGAACGTGTTCTTCACCTCCACGCACGCGGGCCCCACCGACTGGTTACGAGCGGGGGAACGACCCCGGACAAACGCCATGGTTTCCACGAAAGTGCTTTGCAGTACAGAGAACAAGAGTACCTCGAATGCACAGAGCGTGGGCGAGTATGATGAGCACGACACAGATGTCTGCAAATCAGAACTTGAGCAAAAATGGTTACGGCGGCAGATTACTCTTCTCACAACGTGCAATGATGAGACAATGGTAAGCAGAACGCAGTATCGACCTGCACAGCTACCTGTCGTTGTCCCGTGGGCTGTCCCGCACTGACCCGCGAGGTCGCCGCGCGGGTTGTCCCGTGGGCTTGCCCCGTTGGCTGCCCCGTCTATCGTCCCATAGTTGTCCTGCGGATTGCCCCGCGGGTTGCCCCGCGGGTCGCATCGTGGATTGTCCCGCGGGTTGCCCCGTGGATTGTCATCTGGGAGATGCAAAACGAAATGCGCATGGAACATGTAATCAAATTGCAGAGTGACATCTACATCGAAATGCACATCGTGCAATTGACGGTCGGGCCATTTTTGTTATGCTCACGCGACTACGGATATAACCCAGGCATGGCAAATACGAAGCTGCCATCATGACTAAACACTCATCGCCGCAAGTCAACAATTATATTACATTGACCGCACGATCGTCCGCATGATGAAATCAATTTTGCTTGTTGTGCGCGGGTATCTAAGACGCTTCTGAGACCACCTGGGTTGCTTCCAAGACGGTTCCCAAGATGGTTCCAAGACGGCCCGTGCCCTTCAGCCCGAAGACGCCTTAGGATGGTTCCAAGACAGTCTAAGCGACTCCCAAGAGGCGGCCCCGAGATGGTTCCAAGACGGCTAAGCGGCTTCTGACACGGAGCCTAAGGCGGTTCCAAGACGGCCCTCAAGACGCCGTAAGTGGCTTCCAAGAGGCTGCCCAATACGGCTGTCATATTTCTAACGCACACCTCAAACACTGCGCGCAAAGCATCACTTGCGAGATAAGGGCGTTCATTCTTCAAGCGGGGTTGCGTTCCTTTTCCTTGATTTTGCTTGTTTGGAAGTAAAAATTACAAATAGAACAAAACATGTACAAAAACACTATTTTTCATATTCTTTAAAACCTTTAACAAATTACATGAAACGCATCACTTGCGAGATAAGGGCGTTCATTCTTCAAGCGGGCCTGCGTTCCTTTTCCTTGAATTTGCTTGTTTTGAATTAGAAAACTACAAATATAAAAAAAAAAATATTAAAACATTATTTTTTCCATATTATGCAAAACGCTACAAACGCTGCATGAAACGCATCAATTGCGAGATAAGGGCGTTCGTTCTTCAATCGGGGTTGCGTCTCTTTACGTTGAATTTGCTTGCTTTGAATGCAGAACTACAAATAGAGCAAACAAATATAAAACACTATTTTCCATATTTTGCAAAACGCTACAAAAACTGCTCGGCCCCCCCCCCAGCGACCCCCCAAAACGGTCAAAACGTGATGCCTACTAGCACTAGTACTAGTCGTAGTGATGGCCGCGCGTGTGAATGTAGTGGTATCAGGAGAGGCCGTTGTCCGAATGCTAATATATCATAGTCGCAGTAGTGGTGGTAATAGTAGTAGCCGTACTAGTAGTAGTAGTAGTAGTAGTAGTAGTAGTAGTAGCAGCAGTAGTAGTAGTAGTAGTAGTAGTGGTAGTAGTAGTAGTCGTAGTAGTAGTAGTAGTCGTAGCAGCAGCAGGCGCAGCAGGGGGCAGAAGGAGGCACACGGGAAGAGGAGATGAGGGGCGCGGCTCCCCAGGGGGGCATAGCAAAATGCGATGCCCCTTGTCTACCGCGCTCCGTGGCGCCGCTCGTTGGCTCCCCGCTGGCCAAAAGCTCAGGCCTCCCGCAGCGCCACCTCTGCCTCGAGGTACCGGTTCCGCTGCTGGAGGCGCTGGCACAGCCTCTTGCTCGCGGTCACCTCCTGGTGACAAGCGTGCTTTCCACTGCCGCCGCGACAGGCCACGGGCGGACGACCTGCGGTAGCGCCCTGCTGTGCGAGATGCTAATCGCACCCACCAGTCGTTACCGCGCGTCCGCCGCCCGTGGTCTTCGTAGCATTTGTGAAAAATATGCCAGAGGGCCTTGTCGCGCACCAAGTTCTTGCGCAGCTTCTCTTTCTCCTTCGTGAGCGCTCTCTGCGTCGCGGCCCCCTTCTTCCCCGCTTCCTCGCACTTCTTTTTCTCCTCGGGAGGAGACAGGCGCGGGTCGCGATTTCTGTTGTTGCTGTTGTGTTTTTTACGTTTAACTGCAGTAGGAATTACCGCCGCGATCCTGAAGGAAGCCGAGCTTCCAGTTCCTGGCCTCCTTCCAGGCGGTCTTCGCCTCGGCCTGCCAAGTCTTCGCCTCCTCCCGTGCGCTCTGGGCCTTCCGCATGTGCTCGTTGGAGCGTCTCCTGTGGACGAGCCACGAAAGGGAGGCGCCGTCCAATGCCACGCAGAAGCGTCACGATTCGGAAGCATAGTATATCACTCACGTTGTATACTGCGCTTCCGAATCGTGTCGCTTCTGCGTGGCATTAATTAGACGCTGGGTTGTGGTATGGTGTTTTTTGTTGCACCATGGTCTTCAAAGCGTCTTCTTTCTTCTGGTGCTGCTCCGTCGCTTTGCGGACCGCCGCGCGGACCTTCTCGAGGGCCGCGCGGCGGAAGGTCGCCACCAGGCGCTTGGTCCGATCTTGTTGGAGGTAAGCTTCAAGCCTTTTTTTGGCTTGGTACTCCCGGTTCTTCTCAAGTTTCCGAAAGTGCGCCTCTGTGCCTTTCGCTGGGTTGCCCATGCTTCCAGGCAGCGGAGTTCTAGCGGGGGCCTGAGCCTAAACACCTTTTTTTTTTTTGCCAATGGCACAAGTTGCATGCGATTGCTTCCCATTTCCATGTTTTTCCTTCCAGTCCACTCCCCCGTATCCTCCCCCATCCTCCCCCTCCTCCCTCGTCCTCACCCTCCCCGCCCTTCTCCTCCTCATCACCATCCTGCTCCTGCTCATTCTCCTCATGAGAGGCATGCGTACAAGCGGCCGCAGCAGGCGAGAAATATTATGAGGACGCCGCCAAATAAAGAACAGTGAAGAAGATGAAAAATGATATGAAGAAGAGTGGAACTGACAATCAGAATAATGATAAAAGGAATAAGAAGAATAAGAAGAAAAAAAGAAAAAGAAGAATAAGAAGAATAAGAATAACAACACGTACAACATAATATGTATGATCATGTAGGGGGCAAGTTTCTTAGGTTCCTGGGTTCCTGGGTTCCTAATTTACTAATTCTTGGATCATGAGTTGTCTAGGTTCTTGGGTTCTTGGTTCCTGAAGTCTTGGGTTCTTAGGTTCTTAAGTTCCTGGGTTCTTAGGTTCCTGGGTTTCTTAAGTTCCTGAGTTCATGGGTTCCTAAGTTCCTGGGTTTCTGGGTTCGTACGTTCCTGAGTTCCTGGGTTTCTTAGGTTCCTGGGTTCTTAGGTCCCTGAGTTTCTGGAGTATTAGGTTTCTGGGTTCCTGGGTTCTTGGGTTCCTGGGTTCTTAGGCTCCTGGGTTTCTTATGTTCCTGGGTTCCTGGGTTCCTAGATTACTGAGTCCCTGAGTTCCCCAACTCCCTTCCCCTGGATCTGTAGAGGAACAGTGCGATGGGTTGAGCCAGAACCTCGTCGCGGCGCGACAATGACGCGAAAGAGCGAATGACTGTGAGAACGGAGTGAGGATAACTAATGCTCTACCCCCTTTCCTGTATTCCCCTCGTCCTTTACTCCTCGTCCTTTCCCTCTACTCGCCCTCCTCTCCTTCCTCCTCATCCTCATCCTACTCCTCGTCTTGGGATGTCATTGGTTTTCATTGTTTTTTTTTGTTGTTTTTTTGCCTTTTTCGCATTTTCGCCAGCCCGCTCCTGGCGGCGCGGAGGGCCGGCCCAGCGCCAGGGCGCGAACGCGCGAAAATACAAAAAAGGCAGAAAATGCAAAAAAAACAAAGAAAACCAAGGACATCCTAAGAAAACCATGCGAAAAAGCTGCAAAACCTAAGGAAAACAAAAGTTTTGGACGCCTGATAGCCACCAAACCTGTGAAAACACAAGGTTTCGGCTCATCGACGTCACGAAACACTGTGTTTTCACAGGTTTCGTGAGCACTAGCTTGCCAAAAGCTTGCTTTTCCTTAGTGTTTGCAGCTTGTTCGCATGGTTTTCTTGGGATGTCATTGGTTTTCTTTGTTTTTTTTGTTGTGTTTTTTTTTTTTGCTTTTTTTGCATTTTCGCTAGCCCGCTCCTGGCGGCGCGGAGGGCCGGCCCAGGGCCAGGGCGCGAACTCGCGAAAATAATAATAATAATATAAAAAAAAAAGAAAACCAAGGACATCCTAAGAAAACCATGCGAAAAAGCTGCAGAACCTAAGGAAAACAAAAGTTTTGGACGCCTGATAGCCACCAAACCTGTGAAAACACAAGGTTTCGGCTCATCGACGTCGCGAAACACTGTGTTTTCACAAGTTTCGCGAGCACCAGCTTGCCAAAACCTTGCTTTTCCGTAGTGTTTGCAGCTTTTTCGCATGGTTTTCTTGGGATGTCATTGGTTTTCTTTGTTTTTTTTTGCCTTTTTTGTTTTTTTCGCATTTTCGCCTGCCCGCTCCTGGCGGCGCGGAGGGCCGGCCCAGCGCCAGGGCGCGAACGCGCGAAAATGCAAAAAAGGCAAAAAATGCAAAAAAACAAAGAAAACCAAGGACATCCTAAGAAAACCATGCGAAAAAGCTGCATAACCTAAGGAAAACAAAAGTTTTGGACGCCTGATAGCCACCAAACCTGTGAAAACACAAGGTTTCGGCTCATCGATACCGCGATACAAACTGCTTTCTTTTTGTGGAAAGAATACAACCTGATTCCTTCTGTGGCGGATTACAAATTGATTTCTTTCTGTCGGATTGACAAAAAACAAGTTCCTTGTGTGGCGGAATTACAAAGACCCCCTTCCCCCCATCAGAAAAACATGCTGAGGCGTTCTTTTCAAAAGCAAAACTTCACCATGCCGACCCGACAACTCGCGTCGTCGCATC